AATATAATTCTAAATCTCTATTTAGCTCATTGTAAAATAATAATATTGAATTTATTTCTTAAAAATAGATGAAATTCATGATTATAAAACCTACTAGTTATAACTAATTAGAAATTTAGTGTGTTTATTTCAAAAGTATAATATTTTAATAATTTGGACGTTTAGAATCAAGAAACTCAAGCCAGATAAAGAAATGGCATAATTCATGTATGATTTAATATTGATTATTCATTCCTTCATTTGCTACTACATATCCTATATTTAGTTTCTTTTTTAAGATTAAAGCTTATAATTTTATTCATTTGATTCATCTTAATTATCAACAATTCTATTTTCCTTATTTCTATCAGTAAGATAGACCTTTTATATATCAAAAATTTAAGGATTCCAATTAGGAGGTTCTTCTATAATTGGATCTATTTAAGGCACCAAAGCAACAATCTAAATAGGAAAATCAATTGATGGATCCTCTTTACCACAGCAGGAATCAGCTAAAATATAAAATTATTTTACAATCTAAATTAACCTTAATCTATAATGAATAAACTGAATTCACTAAACGGCCATTTGCGGATGGTTATATTTCTTAAGGTGATTTATTATTTTGCAAAATAAACTGAACATTCTTTTTATCTTTGCTTCTTGATGGAACTCCTTAAATCTATTTATACGCAACAATTTCATTTTAGAATTTTTATCGGCCTTTATCATCAGTTAATGTCAAATTATTCAATAAAAGTATAGAAATGGAATTCACTTGTTCATCTAAGCTTGAATTATCAATGTAAATTTATAAATAAGCTACATCTCCTGGAAGATAATTAAGTTTATCAATACTACAATTGACATGACAAGCCTATAAATAGAATTTATTTATTACTCCATCACTTGGAAAACAACAATCCTGAGAATGAACCAACATTTGACCATTTAAAGGTTTTTTATTTTATCGTATTGGTTCTCTTATGATTAATCGTTGACTGTTAATAATACAATTATAAGTGGATTTTTTAGATAAAACAGCAGCTTTAACTTTATAGCTAATTTAGGCTAAATCCTTTTCATAATATGAACCAGGTAGATGAGAGAAAAGTTAAAATTAAAAAGGAAATACAAATTACCCTAATGGTAGTGAAGGACTTTCAAAATTATGTAATTCCAACTTATGTTAATAAATATATGACTTTCCTGTATATGTATAAGTAGTTGTGCTTTCAGATGTATTACCTTCTGAATCAGTTGAAGTGCTTGTTGATGTTTCTGTCCATTTACATTTCTCTTTGCCTAAGACTCTCAAATAAACTCCACATCCTGGAAATCCATCCCTAATTACATTTAAATATATATTTCCTACATAATTGTAAAAATTAATTATACCAAGTACAACTTCACCAGAGAAATAATATGGTTTATCAGTTTTAATAAATATATCTCCAAATTATGAAGCAGATATTCCAGATTTCTTTTTTTTCGAATGGCTAGTCTCACTATTACCCATTTTATTTAAATTTTCTTCGAAAAATTCTATAAAAAATAATTGATCAAATATGTGTTTTTTATAATTAAAAATTATATTTAAGGTTATTCAACTTCAGCACATGTATTATAAAATCAATTTCGATTTAAAGATAAATATTATTAAATTATGATCTGATATAGAGGATATTGGAATTAAAAATAATACTTATGGTATTGTTATATAGTAAGATGTTATAATATCAATAAATAATCTAAACATTATTAATTTGAATTTTACTTAAATAAATTTTGGCTCAAATAGAAAATAGAATTTTGTAAAACTAGTGACTTTTGGGTATTATTATTTGAATTAATCATATTCATTAATTTTCTAATTTTTTATTTTAGTATATGTTTTATATTTTATGCTTTTTTCCTTCAAATGCATTCTTGAATAAAGGTTTAAAATGATATCAGAAGCATAAAATTGATTAAAAGAATTAGATGCTGAAAAATTATTGCTATTTTCTTCATTATAATATCTGTATTTGAAATAAACTTTATTTAATCTTCAATCAAAGAAGAGCTACTAATTAGATTAATAGTTACAATTAA